TAATGGCTGGGTATGTGGTTTCCTTTGAAAATTTGAACTTGAAGCTGGCAAATTAGAAGCTGACTTCAGCCTTATAAAAAATCTAATGTTTAGAGATATTTTACAAAAACTATTCCTTTTCAGGAAAACTTTCCTGCTAGAGACGTGAGAAAAGCAGCTATAGCTGAGCTAAAGCTTAAAGCAAAGCAAATATATATATTAAATATTATATTTTTTAGCCTATACTAGGACATTATTACATAATGAGACACATTTACAGCCAAGATGGTAAAATTAAAATAAAATGTTGTGGTTCCCAAGGTGATTTGGGTTGCAGACCCCTGCCCTAGCTTGTTGAGCCCTGTGCAAGCCAAAGGTAACTGCTGATACTATAAATTTTTTCATTTTGTATGAGCTCAAATACAAAACAACTAAGGTTTGTGTGCATAAAGCCTATAAACTTGTTTGGCAACACGTCAGCGGAGTGATACAGTTTGTAAGGTCGGAACCAAATGTTGCATAACAAATTAGACCATCCAATACAGTCGTCACTATCACACTGGCAGGGTTGGGATTTCATGGAATACAAGTATTGTGAATATGTATTGTGAATATGTTCTGTACATATACAGAAATTAAGTTTCTGTGTTCAGTACAAGTTATAATTTGTAAAGGTAGTATTCAGAACACAGTTACTTTTTACAGTTTTAGAAGAATACTTGCCTCCAAAACCTCTGAAACACCATCAATGATTGTTTATTAACTAATTTAAAATCAGCAAAGTGTGCAAAGACATACTCTAAAGATCACAGTAAACGGCTTCTTTACAAATACTGAAGTTCCAGCTAAAGCTGGTGTGTACTGATAAATCAGTGTGATGAGTCAGTTATTAATCTCACTGCTGCTGAACTGCTTTGAGGGATGATTAAACTGAACAGCCTTCTCAGTAGTCTAAATGTTCGCAAGTGATAAGCTTAGCAATGGTGTACTGGACTTCTGCATGCGTTTTGTGGCAAGTTACATATAACGTTATTAACCAAAAATCATACAGCTACCCACTTTACAGTCAGATTAGCAAAATTTGTTATTGGAATATGGCAAATTTTTGGTGAAAGGGTAACATGATTATTAGAGCAGCAGCGGACTGAAACAGGCCATGAGAGCCAAAATAATGTTGAGAATTTTGTAATCATTTTTGTATTCATTTGAATAATTAATTTTTCACAAAACATTAACATAAGAATTACATCTACTGCCAACCAGTAACAGTAAGAAACAGTGTGAAATAAAAATTACTGCAGAGATCTTCTCAGATACTCTAATGTATGTGCATTCCAAATGTGTACTGAATATGTTACTTTCTTATGTTGTAATGCGGGGGTTCTCAACCTTGTCCACCTCAATGCCCACCTGTTTATCACTAGAAAGCAGGAAGGCCCACAATATAACACAACTGAACAGTTTTGATTAAAAATGTCATTTTTGGAAAATTTTCAATACAGTGACATGTGGAGGCCTACTCTTGTATGTGATGTGTATCAGTGAACATGAAATATATAAATATATTTATATATTGTAGCTGGTGATATAAATATATAAATTAGCTGGTGAAGGAGTGACATGCACAAATACACACACACACACACACACACAGCCCATCTCTTGCTCTACTGTGCACTCAAATATGGAATTGTTTAATGTTACATCTTTTTCCTGAAGTTTTTTCTCTTGCTTTTGTCGTGAAAGTCTAAGAAAAACGAGAGCAAAATGGATGCTTACAGGCTAGCCTGCTACCCAGCGTTTCGCCTTCTCTATGTATTTAAAACTTAACATGAAGCTTTCAGCAGTTAATGAATCATATTTCAGAAACGACCACAGTTTCCCCACAGTTATTTCCTGTTTCACTCGGAAATATGTCACATTAAGAAAGAAAAATTAGTTTTGATTTATAACTTGCATCAACTTTAAGAGCATTTGAGTGTGGGTATTTACGAGCACCATCTTAATAGGCTGTTAATAATCCTAATTTTCTGCATTCCATATAAACAGCGCTAGCTTAGCCTAATTATTTACCTCCCATGCTCCCAATGTCATGGTCCATTACAAAGTTTGTGTGTGTGTTTTTTGGATCCTTTGATTGTAGTCTGTAATCATCATTAAACAAAGACTGATTAGTTTTTTCTTTGTCATTGCAGCTGCTGTCAAAAAGTGGTACAGCAAGGCTCAGAACATATTTCCCGTGCCGTGGCAGACCACCTTTAACATGCCCCTGGACAATGGAGGCTACACCTCCAAACTAAAACAGTTAGAAACACAATATTTATCCAATTTAACTGTTTTTTTTCCTGTCTATTTGAAATATGTTGTCTTTAGTTGTCTTACTAAAATAAATAAGCAAACGTGATAGATAGATAGATAGATAGATAGATAGATAGATAGATATATACTTTATTGATCCCTAAGGAAATTTAGCGAACGTTTTATTGGTGCTTTTTTGTCAGCTGTCTTATTTTGGGTGCAATTATGAATATATGATAATTTAATCAATATAATACGTAAGCATGAATTCATGGTTGAAATTAAGTTGAATTAAAGTTGCTGAGCAACGTTGGGTTTTGACGTCAGTCTGAACAGCCTGAAAAAAGACATGTTTTCAGTGAGTTGTTGCTTTGTTTTTGAATTTTTGTTGTGTTTGTTTTTACATTTTTTTTTTATTATTTTATTTATTTATTCTTTTTAAGGGGACATTTTCAGCTAGGTTGGGGCAACCATGGCTCAGGTGGTAGAGCGGGTTGCCTACTAATCGCAGGGTTGGCAGTTCAGTCCCAGACTCCTCCTATTGACAACTGAAGTGCCCTTGAGCAAGGCACCCAAATGCTCTGTCCGACGTTGGAGGTTGATGCAGAGCCAGCGTTGGGTTTTGACGTCAGAACGATTTTCAATTTCAACAAAAATCCAACGTCAGAGGTTGACGTCAGCCATCTTTGGGTTTTGACGTCAGTCCGATTTTCATTTTCAATCAAAATTTAACGTCTGTCCAACATCGGAGGGTGACATCAAGCCAGCAATGGGTTTTGGCGCCAACACGATTTTCATTTTCAACTAAAATTCAATATCTGTCCAACATCGGAGGGTGACGTCAAGCCAACGTTGGGTTTTTGCGCCAACCTGATTTTCATTTTCAACTAAAATTCAACGTCTGTCTGTGCAACATTGTAGTCCAACGTCTTTCTGACGTCAAATTGACGTCCTGTGCCTGCAGGAACCGCTGCCGCTTTTTGTCAGGTGGAGCTCAGTGAGGAGCACAGCCCAAAACGGAACCCACCGGGGCAGACCTGCAGGGTCATTTTTCCATTTTTGCGCGATGTACATAGTCCAATTGTTTCAGCATGGCCAATAGAAAAGCAGCAGGCGTGTTTTGTGGTTCCTCTCACCACCTGAAAGGTCAGATTTTTAGAGAACGCTGTCCACTTTGCGAGCGCTGCGCACGCCATGAGTGGTGTGAAAGGGGTCTAAGTTCTAAAGGAGTTGTGGTCTGAACAAAAAGTGGTCTGAGATCCCAAAGGACCAGAAAGAAAACTGAATCCTCTTTATAGTTCACTTACACTGTGGGCACAAAAAGAACTGACGTCATTTGCAGTTGGTTCCCTTCCAGGTTCACTTTAACAGAACTCAGTTTGGTTCTTTTAAAACGAACTATATTTGAAAACACTGTCAGACAAGTTAAAAATCGAATCCATGACTCAGCTTTACTGAAAAACCCAGAAATACATACAAAAGAAAGGGAAGAATATCGCGCTAGGTTAGCACTCGGTTATGCGCAGTTAGCGCGCCCTCTCGCTGTCTCGACTCTATTTGTTTACTACTAGACCCTGTGATGCACTGCCACCGCATACACCCAGCACTTCAGAAAAAAGTCCCTGTAATAGAAGAAGTAATAAATAAACCAAACAGCCTAAAATCAACATGTACACCTTTCTATTTTTAAACAAACAGAACAGACGTACCTGACGACACAAAATTAACAGAATAACACAATGCTCCTGAGAAACACAAACTCCTTACTGCTCTTAAAACCAAAAAAGCAAATACCAAGGCAAATGATTATGTATAATGGGGAACACATTTATTTTTCTGAAGGTGGTATTTTTCATAATAACGGTGGTATATATTAAGATAATTCACAGTTCTAATTAAATAAAATGCATGTTTTCAGTAAATAAAGTAAACAAACACAACAGTTTACATTTATGTTGTAACAGTATGACAACGCAGTATGGCATAGGTAAAAGTATCAATTGCATGAATAGGATGAAACCAACAGAGCTTCTAGCTGCAGGCTAAAGTGTACTAACATTCTTTATATTTTAAGTGAAACCAACAGAGTCTAGGTTAGATAAATACCTTACTCAGTGGATCTTGTGGTTTATCAAAGTGGACATTAAAATCTCTAACAATTATTATTTTATTCGAGAGCATTATTAAGCTTGATAGAAAGTCAGCAAATTGCTGTAAGAACTCGGGATAGGGCCCTGGTGGCCTATAGATTGTAATTAGTGAAAATGAATTCTTATTTGTTCCTCAGCCACTTATGTTAAGAAAAAGAATTTCAGAAGAAGAGTATTTGTAGTCTGCTTTCTGGTTCACGCCTAAAGCTTTTGTGTAAAAGGTTGCGATACTTCCACCCGGCTGCTTAAACGAGGGCTATGCACACAATTGTGCCCTGTGGGGGTGGCCTCATGTAGAACAAAGTATTCTTTAGGTCAAATCCACCTTTCTGTAAGGTACAGAGCATCAAAATCATGATCAGTAATAATTACATTTACAACGATAGCCTTAGACGTGAGATCTTATGTTAAGCAGTCTTAGTTTTAGACGAAAGGTGCTGTCACTGCAAACTGGTTTAACTGGTCTGATATTGATTAGATTAGCCAAACAAACTGTTCGAGGTTTTCTGAAATTTTGTTTTATTCAGGGAACAGACACAGCCTCAATTGGATTGGAACCTAGGTGGCGTCTCAAGGCAGCTAGCAGACAGTTGGATCAGTCTGTTTGTCTGCTGCCTGACCTTGGCCCTGGTTCGTCAGCGACTGACTGTCCCACGCCGACGGCTGTCTGAGAGACTACGAGGTATGCTACAGGAAAGTTTGTGTTAAGTTCATGTTAAGTAGTGCCTTTCATAAACCTTTCACTAAACTGCATGAAGCGCTGATCTGCACGAACAGACAGAGTACAACACAGCGGCAGAGCTAATCAGAATCTCCATTTCAACTGGGAGGCGTTTTCAGACCTGCCTTGAACTTTTTCTTTAGTTTCGGTTTGACGTGCGAAACTCCACTCCCATTCAGGCAGCACCAAACAACTGAACCGCGCTAATTTACGAAGGAATTCAGCACCAGAGCGCGTTTTTTCTCACTGCACATTTTCTCTGTACTGTCTGCCCAATCTGCTGCTTTAACATTTCGCTCTTTACAAACGCTCACACTTGAGTTCCTGCACTGCGAGCTGCTGTAAATAACAAAATAACAAAAAAAGATATTCGTTTGATTATGGATTGAGGAGCACATTTTTGGCCAAGAATCAGCGACCAGCAATTTTACCCAGTGGTCTAATTGCATTGTGTCACTCAGTACTCAGCCAGCTGTTTTTTTTAAAACACTTGCCCCACCACAATTGGAGGTGTGGCTTCACCCCTGTGGGTCGGAAATCTATGTCGTGGTTGGACAGACGTGATTTTGTAAGTTTGCTAGTGCTCCACAGCTCCAGTCCTGCAACCCCTGCACTGCTTAATTCTGGTTTCCCTGTTTAAAATACCTTATTATTATAATACCTTATTATTAGCTAATTAATCTCTTCTTGAGCTGAACGAGGTGTGTACAGCAGAGAAAAACTCTAAACTATACAGTACAGGGGCTGCAAGCCTGGAGTTTGAAAACTCTGAATTAAAGGTCTGTGTGGTCTTTCGTCATTCTCGGTTTCTGTCGCACCTTGCAGGTGAGTCATTCACAAATTGAAGGCATCGCGCTCGTGTAGTCACTCCACTCACTGTGACGTCAAGCGAAACGCTAGAATATGTAAGTATAAAGCTGTGTTTAATGTTTGTCTCTCTCCATACTCTGATGGTTTATCCCTTTTTAGTGGATCCATCAGGAGAAACACTATAAAAGTGGTCCATCTCTCATTGCTTCGGGAGCAAGCAGGTGATAGAGTACGGATTGCAAATAGAATTTTTTTGCTTGAGCTTATATGGTGAAAAGATTCTTAAAAGAGTCTTAAAAGAAACACCTTTTGTTGTGTTTGAAACCCTCCCTGGACTATGTATGGACCATTCCACTTTAGATCAAAATGTGGTCCCTGCAGTAAAAAAAAAAAAAAAAATATTCAGACCATAGCTATTTACAAGAATTGTGTTACGATTATGCTATGATATAGAGTACTTTTCACTTCTCCTGAAGTGGTTTGAGCGATCAGATTTGAATCTGTTTTTAATGTGTCTTGGGTGCATTTACACTTGCATTTTTATGTAGCTTGGCTCTATCCAAATTTAATCCTGAGTCATTATGTAACTGATATACCAACTGAGGCGGAACAGAAAATTAAAATAAGAAGCTAGCGAATGGAAAACAAATTTCAGCCTTGTGTAACTGTGGTAGTAAGTGTGTTTGTGATTAACGCAAGTAAGAATTTGGTGAATCATCCAGTCATGTTAGCATTTAAAAGCAACAAATTTTGTTTGTATCCTTTCTTGGCATACTGTGAACACATGTACAAAGGACAATGGCATTCACTAAGCTACTAAGGTACGTAAATACTGTGTGATGATAGCGGTTAGCATACCACAAAAACTTTGGCCACATTTGGGTGTATCACTAACTAAATGCCATGAAGATTTGGCTTCAGTTTTTGATAAACCCAGAATCTAAAGGCATTTTGTCTTGAGCTTAGCTTAAAACTACATTGCGTTTATAATGCAGATATTGCCTACATAACAAATTAGAGCAACGTACTTTACAGTCTCGTTTGCTATGGAATGTAATGCTTTTTTCCTATAGATCCAGCTCCTCTTTTCTGCAACCTGGAAACTGATTTCTTACCGTCCAGAGACATGCACATGCAGAGAAGATGGCCAGTTTGGAGGAAACCAGCTATTCTTTAAATCCTGCGTTTCATTTGTGGTTATACTACAATCTTAGTATTTTGTGTATTTTATATTTTATTCATAAAGAATAAAATCAATAACATGCAGTAGAATGCCAAGGCACAAATGTAAATAGGCTTGCCCTGTAGTAACTGCAATTTGCTACCAGCAGTATTAGGGGCATGCTTTCAAGAAAACATTGTGATAAGTTTAGATTTGATGATGTTGAAGTGGATCAGCTGTATTGTTTCCCCCTTATTGCTCAATCTCAATTCCCCCTCCCTCTTTACTCTCTTCCCCTTGACTCCTCCACAGTATTTTGGGGTAGGAGAGAAATAGTAAGAAGGGAGATGGAGGCCAGAAGCAGTAGCAAACGTCCAAATAGTTAAGTTAGACTTCCTTTACTGTCTGCTTTACCTGCTGGACTGATCTGGTAACCATGGGGACCCACAGGCTAGTCACCTCTGCTTATATATTTAGTGAGGCCATGGGCTAAAAATCAGGTAAAAAGCGAGGAAATCAAAGGAAAAGAAAGTTTCATTTAACAATTTAATGCAGTTTGATTGTTTTAAATTTGGACAGAACTAGCACTGTTGTATGATGTAAACTGAAAGTGATGTAAACTGGGAAAAACAACCTTTGGGCAGACAAATAGCAGCACTATGTGATGAAAGTTGTGTTTTAAAGCCCTGAACGATCTGACAGCCCTTTTATAAAAATTTTGGACACAAACAAAGTTTTGCAGCATATTAAACATTTAGTGGGCACTAGTAATTTTGAGACAAAGGGGCAAGAGTATATTACTTCTGCTGATGGATAAACATATTTTTGTCTTGGATTTTAAGTTAAAAGTTAAAAGTAAAATTAAAATAGTAAAATAAAGATTTTGCAGACTTAGATGTCTTAAATGGCAGCCTAATCATTGAATCACTCAGCTGACTAAGTAGGCTACTGAAATTCACACAAATACACAAATTCGCAAAACTGGAGCTGTTCTGGTAAACCTTGATTTCTAGACTTTCTGTGTAGCAAGCAAATGACATGTCATAAACATTCAAATTGTCCATGTAAAACCTGTTGTGCTTTCATTTTGCATAGAGCAAATTATGAAATACAGGACCTCCTAATTAACCTCTTGGACTCCCTGAATGGGGGGGGCAGGTCCCTGAAAATAAACGTTGTTGTCCATTAGACACTCAAATACAAATTCAGGGAAAGTAATTGTTTAGCCTGTTTCAACCATGAATAGCAAACTTTTGTCTTTAATATCCTTAACTGAAGAGAGAAGCAGCACAGGTCTGTCCCAGGGTGGCGCTGTAGCAAACTAGTTCACTCAGTTGGTCTATCGTAGCCTAGCAACTGTTATTATGCTTGGAATAAATAAAAAATTTATACAGTTTGCAATTTTACAATTTGCCACAGCATATTTGCAAATTTGAAAACTTGCCCAATTTCCCAAGAGATTAAGAAAGAGTGAATTGTTACTAATTTCTCAAACCCAAAGACTCTAAAGAGATGTGTAAGATCTCAATTAATGTGAGGAAGACCACATTATATGTATATATAATGCACTTCTTGTCTCATATGTTACTCTAATTTATGTCTTTTTCTTTTTTGCCTAATATATATATACGTCTATCTATCTATCTATCTATCTATCTATCTATCTATCTATCTATCTAATTACTAATTGGGAGTCCCCAAATACCAGCAAGTATTTCACATACTGGCATAACATTATCATTATAGTGCAATCAATAACTTGGTATAAGCATGTGCGATAGCTTGTATTAGTGTTAGTCAAAGACAGATAGTGTCTATTTGTATTAACCTACTGCATTCTGCTTGTGTACTGTGCCTAAAAGCAGTAAATACTATGTAATATATGACCAATATAAATTTCTCCAGTATGTCAAAGAGACCAGAACACTGATGTACCATTCTGGCCAAATATTCCAGGATGCAGCCAGTGACAATCTTTGTGATGTACTGCATCTCATAATGCAATGTGGTCATTTCAGAAGTATCCTCACATATACCATTTCCATGGGGTAAAAAATAAAACATTCTTTACATTTCAATGTAGTAAGTTTGCAGTAAGGCTGTTTGCAGTCCATGTGCTGAAGGTTTGGCAATGAAAATTCAAGCTTGCTTTAGCAGCCAGATAAGGTTTTTGTAGGTTATTGTAGTAATGTCACTGCAAAGGTACTGCACTGTAATGTAGCAGCTAACCGTTTATTTTCAGATTAATGGTAGCAGTAGCAGTAATTAGACTTCTGATTAAGAAAGCTAACCTTGATCCCTGCAAGCTATCAAATTATAGACCTATCTCTTGGAAAAAGTTGTGGCAAAACAGTTAAGTTCCTATTTGCATAGGAATCATATACATATACATTACATATAAACATTTCAGTCTGGTTTTAGGCCACATCATCGTACAGAGAGAGTACTAGTGAAAACTGTAAATGATCTCCTATTATTCTCTGACCCAGGAAATGTATCCTTGCTAATCCACATGGATCTTAGTGCGGCATTTGATACAATAGACCACTCTATCTTACTAGATAGACTAGAAAACCTTGTAGGAGTAACAGGAATAGCTCTTAGCTCTTTTCTGATTCAGGTCTTATCTGACTGATCGCTATCAGTTTGTAAATGTAAACGGCGAATCATCTGTTCTTGCTAAAGTATGGTGTTTAATAAGGCTCTGTTTTAGGACCTATATTATTCACATTATATATGCTATCACTGGGTACCATTATTAGTAAACACGGCATCAACTTCCACTGCTATGCCAATGACACACAGTTATATATATATCAGCCAAACCAGATGCTAAATTTCAGTTAAACAAGATTAAGGACTGTATAAAAGATATAAAAGAATAGATGTCGAGTAACTTTCTCCTACTCAACTCCGATCTTCTTCTTGGTCCAAAAGCGGTTAGAAACAAACTATCTGATTTAACACTTAAACTTAATAGTTTCTCAGTTGCAACAGGTACATCTGTAAAAACCTTGGTGTCACATAGATCCTGATCTGTCCTTTGATGCACATATAACAAATATTACTAGAATAGCTTTCTTGCATCTATGCTAAATTAAAAAATGCATTGTCTCTACAGGATAAAGAAAAGCTAGTTCATGCATATATTACCTACTATAATGCCCTGCTGTCCGAATGTTCCAGTAAAAGCCTTAACAAACTTCTCCTAGTCCAGAATGCTGCAGCCAGAGTCCTCACAAGAACCAGAAATTTCGACCATATCATTCCAGTTTTATCAACCACAACAATTTTGCATTGATTACAAAATTCTTTTACTTATGTATAAAGCTCTAAATGGCCTCACCCTTCAGTACCTAAGTGAACTTCTGTCTTACTACAAACCATCACGCCTACTTAGATCACAAGGCGCTGGCTTACTATTAGTACCTTGAATTAATAAAGTTACATCAGGGGGTAAAGCCTTCTCATACAAAGCCCCCCAACTTTGGAATAATCTTGCAGTCAGTGTTCGGGACTCAGACACAGCCTCATTCTTTAAGTCTAGGCTAAAAACCTACTTCTTTAGTCAAGCTTTTGCTAATTACCTTTTATTTAACAGAAAAAAACTACAGATCTAGGGATTCATGGACATAGAGTATTATGGTAAAAGTGGAGTGTTGGTGCTGTCGTCCTGCTGCTCTCACGCATTCACTCAGGTTTGCTGACGGTGGAGTGAAGGGGCGCTGACATCTCAGGGAGCCCTCAAGTCTTCTGTTACCTTCTTCTCAAGGTTTCTTCCTCGTGCTCTTAGGGAGTTCTTCCTTGCCACTGTCGCCATTGGCTTGCTCATGGGGGCTCGGACCCGGATTTTTCTGTAAAGTTGCTTTGTGACAACACCTGTTGTAAAAAGTGCTATATAAAAAAACTTAACTTGACCATGTAACCAAATACTGAGCAGATACAGCTTCTTATATTTGCTTTGCAAATTAAAGCTGAACAATATAGAAAAATAAAACATTCAAAGGGTAACACACAAAGGGCCTTAAAAAGTAACCTTTAAAGATTGGCTCATTATAGATTTAAATAACTGTTCCAATGATGAGATGGAGTAACTAAAACTGTCTGCTGTCTCGCTGGTGTTCAGTCAAATGGCTTTTTGCCTCAGACATGCTATGACACCATGCATACCATTTCAGCACAGCCATGAGACACTGGCTACTGAGAATAACTAACCGCTTAGTCAAATGTCAAACATTCAGTCTCCATTCAAACCAAACCATTACTGTTGTAAGTGTGAGAGGTGCACATAGACTCATTGAAGTGGTTGAGGCACCTGTCCACAACGCATTGCCTGAGTACAACTACAACATACTAGCTGTACTTTTGCTACCTTTTACTTATATTAGCTTACTTATATATCTGTTTTTTCATTTTATATCAGATGTCGAGTTAATACTTACCATACATAATGCTACGGCTTTCTGTGATGTTCTAGTTACTGAAGCAGCTTTTGTTGAATTGCCATCACCATCTTCCATCTCTGGGCTTCTGCTCATCTTGTGATGTCAGAATGATCATTTGCCTAATTCAGGAAAGGTTCTCTCTGCCCATTTTCAACTCAACTCCTCAAAACTCAGGAGAACTAAACAAATTTCTCTCTGCTGAACCACAGTTGTTTCACAAAGGGAGAATGAAAACCTTTTAACATTCCTGACCTTAAAAATGGTGTGTTAGAAGAGAGAGAACACTAAACTGTGCTATGCAGGACTACTACAGCACCAGGAGATTAAAAGATAAGAGAAGTTGAGTCATAGTTGAATTTGTCATAATTAGTTTAAATCAGGGTTCGGTAACTCAAATGTTAAGAAGAGCCATTTTGTCCTCTCAACAAAAATTACACCCCCTTCGGAGTCACATTTTATGTCCATTTTATTGAAGTGATGTTTTACCATCTTGGCTGTAAATATGTCTCAGTATGTGCTAATGTTCTTGTATAGGTTAAAAAATATAAATGAAGATGCAGACTTACTTTGCTGTGCTTTAATGTATAGCTGCTTTTCTCACATCTCTGACAGGATACTTTTCCGCAAAAGTAGAATAGTTTTTTGTAAAATGTCTCTCAACTTTCGACTTTTTAATGAGGCTGAATAAATCAGCTTCCATTTTCCAGCTTCTTGTTCGAATTTTCCCGTTCCACCTTAAATGGTGCCTAAGGTGACAGAATGTAACTGTTACACCATTCAAAGTGGAACAGGAAAATTCAAACAAGAAGCTGGCGAACGAGCTAATTTCAACTTCGTGACTTTTAGCGTTAGACAGTATAAGTCCTTTTGTCTTCAAATTATCGATGTTCATATCGATGTGAATCTTTCTCCTTGCCTTTGCGTTAGCTACAAGCTAGGCGAGATTGTCTAGGCTAGGCGAGATTGTTGTCTGTGTTGCTATGATGACCAGCAGTCTGCACGCTGATCTTTAGGGTTAAGGGTCGGTGAATTAGCAGTTATACAACTCCAGCGTTTAAGACCATTTATTGTTAAAACTGTTAGAATGATGAGCAGAGGTTTATTTTACTAAAAGAGAGGATTATTTTATTTTTAGTTAAAAATCTAATTCTGCTGTGGAGCCGCAACAGGGCAGTTAAAAAAGAGCAGCATGCAGCTCCAGAGCTGTATGCATGTATGCCGACGCCTGGTGTAACATTAATCACTGTATTGATCGATACAAATCGGTCAGTTCAATAACCGTAATACATACAGTCACTGGCATCTGAAAATCTTGTACCTCAGTTTTCCACTACATTAACACATGATAAAGCTAAGAAAAAACTTCTATAAAGTTTTATTTTGGCAATCCAATGGAACAGATTCATTAAGAGATGCACTCATTACTGACAGTCTACTTAACACTTTGTGCCTGTGGGGGTGGGAAGTTCAGCAGGTTATGTATGAAGAACTTCCAACTTGCAAATGAGCAGAGGTGCAACTTCATGATTAACATATGACCTATATCATATAACCAGGTGTTAAATCATCTTTGTTTCAGATTCAAATTTTCACTCATTAATATTAAAATAATTATTTTCTCAATGCTTTGACCTTATTAAGTCAGAATAATAACTGAAAAAAAATATTACATGCAGAGAAAATATTAGTAGCTGAGTAAGTAAGTAATTATTTTGAGAAAATTCAACATTAAGTCATCAGAATTCAAGAAAATTAAGTAATTATTTTTCACTTTGTCTTGAATCATTTTCAGCTAGTGGGATGATCTGATGATTTTGAGTGAAAGCCACTTTTTAACGCAAAAATGGGGTTTGTTGTTGGTGCAACAGTGCAAAATGTCTGCCCCAATATTTCTTGACAGTGAGGATATTCCCTTCGTTCCCACTGTCTCTGCCTCGAACTCTATTACCCAGAACCCCTCTCAGGATCACATGACCACTGATCTCCCTCACATGACACTCCAACCTTCTGCTTCACCTGACTACTGATTACACACACCCGTTCCTTGTTGTATGTACCAGTTAGTTTAGTCATGTTGTGAAGTATTGCCTTTGTTCACAGAGCCTTACCGAGCCTTCTATTTGTCTGTTTGCCATTTTGTGTATGACCCTTGCTTTTTTTGTTCTACGACCTTGCCTTTTTGCCTTGCCATTTCAGTATTGTTGTGCCTGCTGGTTTGACCCTGTTTCTGTTTTTGGACATTGCTTTTTGGACACCCCTCATGGTTACTGTTTTTGTGAATTGGCTTTTGACCTTAGACTGGCTGACTTTGATTTCGAATCCTCCCTTTGTTAATAAACCCTTTTTACTTAAGTGTGGTCTGCGAGCGTCTGAATTCTGTCTGAGCCTGACAGAGGACAATACAATACAAATCCCCAATACTTAAAAATTAATAATCATCAGTACAGTGTAAGCATCATTAGAAAAACTTACTTTTGCAATAATCAGTACAGCATAATAATCAATGAAATTTAAAAGCAACAAGACAGTTGGTGATACAGACAGCAAACAATTTATTTCTCTCATTTACAAGACAGTACTACATTAACATTATTACAAAAAGTACAAGTTAACTTAGTCTATACGCAGTGCAAAAAATATGATTTAAGTATAAAACAGGGAAACAAAGAAAATATTAGTGAGACTGTGCTATTCTGTAAGTCATCTTTTCAGTCATTTCACCTAGAGCTTTGGAGTTGTTGGATGGCGGTCCCAATTTTATTTTGTTTTTTTTATTAAGTTGTTTTTTAATGTCATGAAGTGCTAATGTTTTTAAAGATTTGGCTTAAAAATTAAGACTTTGGTCTCCACTCTATCAAAATACAAAATAGTAAGCTACAAAACAGAAACCAAAAAGCAGCAATTTCATTGAAGAAACAGATTGAAAAATGTTCTTAGATAAGGCACTTCAAAGTATGAAAAAAGAAACATATTCTAAAACAATAGTTTCAGCACTCAACTATGGAAGAGCAGCATAGAAAACTCAAAATTAGCCTTTTTAAAAAGTTTGTAAGTGATCACAAAGAGCCACATTATACATACGAGTTAATTTTGTTACTATCATAAATAGCAGGTAAGTGACAATATTCTGATATAACATTCTCCACCCCTTCTCAGCTGTTACTTACATTGAACATTGAAAATGTTGAAAATGAAAGTTTGATAATAGGTCTCTGGATTCTTTTTTAGATTTAGTCATTCCGGATTCTTTTATTTTTTTTAAGATTATAACATGCTGCGAGCGATGGTTTGTATGGCATTATTACAATTCATATTTCGGATTACAGCAAGAGACAATAATACCACATTGCCACAAAATGCATTGTACATTTGGGTCACAGTCTATCAAGATCATGTTTAGATGAGGAAATTAGAGGTGGTGAGGGGTTTTTATTCTGCTTGTAGCTCTGAAGCAATCCATTAAGTCATTTTTCCAAGAATATACAATGTATTGTTGAACAAGGAAGGAATGAAAAATTCAAAAGTCTAAACCACCTTCAAACAGATTTTGGTAGAAAGCTGAAAAAGATGTCAGCTTTAAAAAGAAAATGTCTGCACATAACTGATTGTCCCACACAGAGTGCACACGTCACCTTAGTCCTTCAGGTGTCCTTCCTTTTTACGTTCACTTTTTGTGAACTCAAAAGTTACCTCTAATTCACAGCACATAATGCTGATGCACTTCAAATTTTAGCTTTCACTTATTGCACAACCCTTTTTGCATACTTTAAATCTTGCAAAAATACATCAATAAAGAGGATACAATGTAACAGCAGCACAAAATGAAAAAAAAAGCAACAAATAAAACAACATCTTTACAGCAATAAATTATAATACTTTATATTTCAGCATGGCACACATACAACTAGGTGGTCTGCTATACTCAGCAATGAACAGCAGTCAAACGACTAGCAAGTACTGCTCATTACCATAAGGTGAAGCTTTATACACTGTAGTTGGACCTCTTAGACTTACACATACCTTAACTATGATAAATAAATTGCAAAACCAGGTTTTAGCAAAAAGGCTATGGCCTCAGACATGTAACCTATTATTAGATTATAATTTAATATTTCAACTTTACATCAAAATATTCATCCTCTGGTACATTTGCGGACTGTGGGCTACTGATGTGTTAAAGCTAAAACTTGTTTGCACATCACGCACTACATTTTGTACAAAAACAGCTTAAGCTAAATTCCATTTTAAAAGCTATGTGCTAGAAGCACACTGTGAATCTTTGATAAATACAAGAACAGTGGAGAAAGGCTATAAGACACATAGTCCTCTACATTTTCATTTCACTGCATTCTTCTCTTTATCTTAATCAACAATATTTACTTGGATTTGCCAACACTGATTCTGGGAAATTGTTGTTAAATAGGATTCCTTAAATAGGCTATCCTCTTTTCCTCATGAGCCTTGTTTAGTCTATAGCCCACTTTTGTGGAGTGGCATCAAAACTTATTGTTCACATACACTCTTCAAAAAGGCTATGGGCATCGTAATATAGTGTTACAGTACACAATATAAAACAGTTTACATATTTATATTCACAGAACAGTTTAGTGTCATTTAAGGCAATGTCTTCACCTACCTCTACATGTAGTGTTTACAATTGGTGTTTTCTAGTTAAGACTGTTTTAGTTCGCACAGTAACGCAATATTGGAACTTCTTATAGAGTATATAACACTTCTATAAAAAAAAAATGCCGTGGTGATGGAGAAACAAATAAAAGCTCTGGAACAGCAATTTACTTCACAGGTGAAATCAAATTATTTGAAACCAAGTTTCCTTGAAACATAACTGGATAACACTACACTGTGTATTATATATTATAAAAATATAGGTGCAAATATTAGGAGGTTATTAATACAATATGATTTTTGATATTTTATGCGCTAAAGCATCTAGAGTCTACAGAGCTCTAATTAAATACTAAACAGTTCAGATAAATAAAAGTTTTCTAAAATAAATTTTTCAATGCTTGCCACACCAGCCCTTTCACTCGTCACCCACTGAATGTAAGTGACTTCTGATAAAACTGCATGGGTGCATGCATAGCATAATCTCCCCTTCCCAACTGCCCACTGTACTCTGATATGATGCACCCAAATCCCTAGTTTTGATCATTGACAGTGTTTCTACAAAAAGTAAATGAGAGACATCTTGGAAGGGAATTGTGGATGTTAATTTTACTTTCTGGACATATCTACCACTTCTTAATTTTTATTTACACCTTCCTAGTGTTCTACTAGTAATTTCAATCCTAAAAATTTGCACAAGACCACAACCAAATTGGGTTTATATTCTTTAAAGTTCTCTAAGCACAGCCACAGTTATAGCACAGATAGAGATGGGAAATGTGGTTCACTACACTAACTATAAGAACTGTCTGTATAAGAAACAGCTAACAAGAGGACTGAGATGTGACCATTACCTAAATGCACTTGTGAGGCATTTTGTAAGACCAGCCTCAAGTCACAGTTAATAACTGTGGGCCTCTTTCAGAATGCAGAGCAACTACATATACTGTGCACTGTACATTGTGAAAGCAATCTCTTACCTTATCAAAAGTTAGCCAGGGAAAGTATACAGCAAAGGTGCCAATACTGCATGTGTAGGTGAGCTGGGAGATTTTTTATTAGTGACAGGCTCGATCTCTGAAGAAAATGACAAGTCTTGTGTGGAAATGGCCAGGCCACCAAGTTTAGCCAGTGAGTTAGAACGTTTGAGCCTGGAGGATGTAGGCAGTCCAGTCAAGCGTAAGCGTGTTCCGTTTTCCTGTGCTCGCTGGTGGACTAAACCTAGCTGTGCCCCATGCATGTTTTCACTGCTGGAGCTGCGTATCATGGCCCAGTGTTGCAGGGAAGCTGCAGTGAAGTTTGTGATGGAATGATTCAGAAGGGGAAGGGATGTACTGGGGATTGAGCCCAAGTCTACTTCCATGTCCTCTGTGACAACCTCGTCCATGCCCAGATCCATGTGTTCCAGCTGTTCTGGTCTCTGACGTCCAAGCCTGTCTTCTTCATACAGGTGGGTGTCCTGGTGGAGCTCTGCCAGGGGCCTCTCACTCTGCAGGCTTAGCTTCAATATTGTGAACTCTGTGCCAGGGCTGGCAGGGGCCACTTTTGGCCCATCCTCTTCCTCCTCTTCATACATCACCTGGAGCCCATCCATGTCCTCTGGCTCCAAATGGCATTGAAGGTTACAAGAGGCAAGCTGTTCACAGCTCATAGGGGAGGTCAGGCATTGGCAGTAAGTGTCCATACTTGTAGCTGGTGCAGTGGCAATGCGACCAGTGCAGCGAGACAGCTGGTGCCTAGAAGCAATGGGCAGCTGGCAGAGAATGGGCAAGCAGCTAAGGTGTTCGGCCCCAGTGGCATGGATGGAAATGCTGGACAGGCCAGCGTGGCGCGGAATGTTGTGGCGATGAGTGCGGCGCTCACAACGCCGCCCGCCCGGCAGATGCAGGCAATCTCGGCATGACTGATAAGAGGGCTTCATTTTGTTTCCGCTGCTAGCACTGTCCTGAACAGATGAAACACACGGGGGGAGGGAGAATGGATGGATGGGTTAGGGGCTCGAATGCAAGGGTGGGTTTTTTGTAAAGTCTGCTGGAAAAGCAGTTAAAAAGGGGCAGAAAGTTCTGAAGTCACACAACTTTCTTTTAAATTCTCTGAGACACAGTGTGTAAAGCATTCTAGCCCCATTTAAAGTGATCAGAAAACAACTGACAATTAGCCATGATTTCAGGTGGACTTAATGTTCTGCTGGGTTTTATCAAACTTCAGCACATACCCATACATGAAGGTTTTGTTGAATAGAGCTAGACTAGAATAAAACATGGCTAGTAAAACAAGAAAGGATTCAATGCACTGAGAATTCATACAGAAATACAAGCACTATCTGCAAGACTTCACACTCACGTCAAAGCCAGAAGGGCAGCTGCGTTTGCCAGCCAGACGGTTGCTATTGTTGGTGTTCTCGTTGTTGAAGCGGTTTGGATTGGCCAGGCTCACCTCCTCCCTCCCACTGGGAGCTGTCTCCTCCCCCCGAGCCAGAGCCGCCATCTCTGCCTCTTCCTTCTGTGCCTCCTCCTCGTCCTCCTCCTCCACTGTGCTGAACTCCAGCCGCAAACGCATGTCCTCCAGGGGCTCAAGCCGGCCATAGGTTTGTGCTGCAGTGCCCTCACTGGGCAGGCCCAGGTGGGCTGTGGGAAAAGCCTCGTCATCCAACAGCGCATCCCGTTCGACATCCTCAATCTCAATGAAGACATGCTCCATGCCCAACAGTGGCAGGCCACGCACTGGTGTGGACGGTCCACTGTCCAGGGCTGTGTCTGAGAGCCGGCGGAAGTAGTAATTGTAGTTGAGGTGGTCTGTGGGTTCATCTCCACAGCAAGGGTACGTGCTGGCATCCTTGTGGCTCCATGTGCACAGCTCTTGCTCAGGAAGCATCTGGGAACCACTGGCACCTGCTGCTTGGAGGTCCTCCAGTGAGTTGTTGTCACAATCTGGCTGCCAGAGTTTGTTGTGTTGCTGCTTGCTGCAGTGACAAAAAAAGCAACTGACAAAAAAACGCAATATTTTTACAGCGTTGTTGTATTATTGAAACCTAAATCTTCATTATGTGAATGTTCATGACAAATAGACGAAAAGAAATGGTCTACAAGTATATTATGTAAACATTCACAAAACACAAATCAAGAACATGAATGGTAATGTCTACATTAATAGCATCAAAGTTAAAGTTGTTTCATCAGCCTTTTCTTACCTTGAGTCTAGAATGCCTTCATATTCAGCCAGCTGCGTCATGAATGCTGGGTTGGGTTGTGCTATACTCCTCTTCTGTTTGACAAAATGATACGCCTTCTCCAGTGACCAGCCATACTCTTTCATAGCATAGGCGATGACAGTGGAAGCAGAACGGCTCACTCCCATCTTACAGTGCACTAGACATTTAGAGTTGTTTTTTCTTTCACAGGAAGCAGAAAAAGACAGACAGGTACATGAAATATGTTAAGATCCAAATGAAAATACAAAAAGAACACAAATATGAAATTTAAATAAACAAATAAATAAAAACGCTACATATAGTACTGTGCAAGAATCTGTACATCTTTTTGTTTACTTAATTTCCGGTCAAAAAAGCCATGAAATACAAGTTATTCATTTGTCAGAGTCAGAAAAAAAAGCCAAAAACATTTAAATACATAAAATCCTACAACACTAAGTATATCAAACCTATCAGTATTTAAATTGTCCACTCTTTACTTGGGTGCAGACTACTGCCACTTTAACTCTTCAATCCTTACAGTCTTTTAAAGAAAGACAATAAAATGTGTTCCCAACAGTGCCATGACATAAGTCATGACACTTAATGGCAACAGTAATACGACACTTACGTTACTGATAAAAATTTGTTACAACAGCCTATAAGATCTTCCATGACATGTTTATGGCAGTATTATGTCAATGTTATGTAGCAGAGTTCGGGTTTTACCAAAAGAGAACAGATATTATTAACTTGCATGAAGAAGTGGAAAGTCAAAGGATAATAACTGAACAAAACAGGAATTTCTCGTTCAAAAAAAAATATTAAAAGAAAAGAAACTAAGATTCCTAACAACCACGTGAGGCTTGGTAGGCCACCAAAAGTCAAGATCCACTCTGCTTCTACTGCTATTTCTGTCTGTCCCTCCACTGTAAGAAGACAACTCAATGCTATGGGTCTGAAAGGATGTGCTGCTGTCAAGAATCCGTTACTGAGAGAAGGAAATAGACAAAAAAGAAGAACTTCGCAGTAGAACATTTAAACTGGACATTAGGGGTAAGGTTTTTTATGGACTGAAGAGTTTAAATCTGAAATCTTTGAAAGCACTATGTACACTGATGAAGCAATAAACGACTTTATCTCTACAACCAATAGTCAAGTATTGTGGAGGATCACTGCAAGTTTAGGCACTGGGACACTGTTGAAAATGTAAATAAAAACAAAATGCAATGATGTGCAGATCAATTAAACCATATATTTCATTTAAAATAGTACAAAGACAACATATCAAATGTTGAAACTGAGCAATTTTATTTTGAATTTGAATTTGATGCCAACAACACATTCCAAAAAAGTTGGGAGGGTGGCAACAAAAGGCTGGTAAAGTTGTGTAATGCTAAAAAACACCTGGTGGTTGATTGGCAACAGGTCAGTAACATGACTGGATATAAAAAGAGCATCTCAGAGAGGCTGAGTCTTTCAGAAGTAAAGATGAGGAGGTGTTCACCACTCAGTGCAACAATTCAAGAATAACATTTCTCAACATAAAATAACAAAGAACTTTTGCTTTTAATCATCTACAGTACATAGTAACATTAAAAGATTCAGAGAACCTGGAGAAATCTCTGCATGCAAGGGACAAGGCCAAAAACCAGTATTGGCTGGCGATGATCTTTGGGCCCTGAGGCGGCACTGCATTAAAAACAGACATGATTCTGTAGTGGAAATCACTGCATGGTCTGTGAAAACAGTTCATTGCTGTATCCACAAATGCAAGTTAAAACTCTAAAACACAAGGAAGAAAGCATATATAAACAGGATCAACAAATGCTGCCTTCTCTGGGCCTGAGCTCATTTAAAATGGACTGAGGCGAAGTGAAAGTGTCCTGTGGTCTGACAAATCAACATTTGAAATTGTTTTTGGAAGTCATTCACACTGTGTCCTCCAGGCTAAAGACCACTCAGCTTGTTATCAGTGCACAGTTCAAAAGCCAGAATATATATATATATATATATATATATATATATGTTTTGGCAACACATGCTGCCATCCGGATGACGTCTTTTTCAGGGAAGGCCTTGATTATTTCAGCAAGACAGTATCAAGCCACATTCTGCATGTATTACAACAGCCTTGCTCTGTATTAAAAGAGTCCAGACCTGTCACCCATTGAAAACATATGGATTGTTATGAAATGAAAAATACGACAAATGAGCCTCCGGACTGTTGAGCAGCTGAAATCCTATATCAAGATTGGGAAAACATTTTACATTCAAAACTACAGCAATTGGTCTTCTCATTTCCTAAACGCTTACAAAGTCTTGTTAAAAGAAGAGGTGATGAAACACAGTGGTTAACATGCCCCTGTCCCAACTTTTTTGGAACGTGTTTGTATCAAATTCAAAATGGGTATATATTTTTCAAAAAACAATTCAATTTCTTAGTTTCAACATTTGATATGTTGTCTTTGTAGTATTTTTCTTTAAAAATGTGGTTTACATGATTTGCATATGATTGCATTCTATTTTTATTTACATTTGGCACAGTATCCCAGCTTGTTTGGAAATGGGGTTGTATAATAACATCTGGAGCTGGTGATTTCTTTTTGATTGCATCAAAAATGCAGATAAGTACAAATACATTTTACTACATCATGCAATTCCCTCTTGATTGGGAAGAAATACATTCTACAGCAAAATAACAACCCAACACACTGTTGAGAAGACCACTGTTGAGAATATCAAAAAAGAAGCTGGTATTCTCAGACAGAACAACAGACTGTCCGCTCCAGAGCCCAGACCGCAACATCACTGAGTATATTTGGGATTATTTTCATCATGAGAAGCAGAAAATGCAACCAGTTTCTAAGACTGAACTTTAAAAGAAGCATGGAAATATATCCCTGCAGATTTCTTTGACAAACTAAAAGCAAGTACTTCGAAAAGAATGGAAGCTCTAATAAAGACAAAGGGTGAAAACAATACATAAAAAACAATATTACATTTAGTTGTTAAGGCCTATGTGTGATTTTATGTTAAATATATGTTTTCTGCATTCTTGATTGCCATTTTGACAGAAAATTAAATGAATAGGTGGTCTCTGACTTTTGCACAGTACTATATATCTGATATCATGTGATTGCATATATTAGATAATAATGTTTCACCCAATTCATCAACATCCTGGTGATGAGTTAAACATGAAACACATAAAACATATTAAAAGTCACTCACTTGGCTCTCACTATAAAATTGTAGGTTTCATTCCAGTGAGCCAGCAGATCTGTTGCCTCATCATCATAGACGTGAACATTGTAATAACAAAATGTTCCTAGGAAAAAGTTGTCAATTTCCCGTGTGACATTAAGGATATAGCCAATCCTGCATCAAAGCACAGAGGTATCAGGCTTTTTATTTTAGATTTGTATGAAATGGATGCATACACTTCGCACTCCTTGTTGCACAGTAACTGACCCGCATTCTCTGAGCTCCTCAAGGTTGGAAGCATTCCATTCTGAGCCCTGAAATGAAAGATGTTACAGATTTAATAGGGTGAGAACACTGCATCAGGAATAACCAAGTTACCAGCCCATCAAATTCAGGAATATTCAGTGTCATATACATAACTGACAATTGAGCCATTCTGGCATTACCATTATTAACCCTTAATTTGCGGGCAAAACGGTAGGTCACTTCTAGCCTTCATAACTTCAGAATGGACACAAACATGATCCACATATCAGGACATTCAGCAGACCTGCCCCTAACTAGCAAGTATGACGTCCTCAAGCTGTGACGTCAACATCAGTGAGTAATTTGGCTCAGAAAATCACCTAAAATACTGATATTCTTGCTCTGCTGTTTGGCCTTCATATTCCAACAAAGGGTTAAAACAGCAATATGATTCACACATCAGATCACTCAGCAGACTCTGCCCTCACCATCCAGAGTGATTTTGTCCACCTGTGACCATCCATCAACCAGCAATCCAGCTCCAAAATCACCCAAACCTCACTCACTACTGTTATATTACATCTCTGCTTTTAGCCTTCATATTATAAACAAAGGGCTTTCAGTTTACATTGATTTTGAGTATTAAAAATATATGAAATTAAATATGCAAATCAATTTGTAATTAAAAGTAAAGCCTTTCTTGCTGTGTATCAGAGTTTTAGCACTGAATGAATCCAAGAGGACAGAAAATCAATAAAAAAAACATGTCTGCCTTATGCTAATTGTTTATTATGCTTATAATAACCAGTAGAATGAATCACCATCAAAATTATTGCACTTTCAGCCCACAGACACTCCAGACTAACATTTTCTGAAAAGATAACTACTACTGCACTTGTTTTTAAGATCTCTTTAATTAAAAAAATACAAAATTTAGAAGGTGCTAGGTAAATTTTTGATAAGAAATGACCCAAATCCATAAAGATATCAAATTTCTGTTAGCCTTTACATGTCAAACAATGGCATATCTGAGTAGCCCAGGGTCTCCTGAAAATAACAACATATGGCATTTGTGACTGTCTCATGTAACTGACCCAAAAAATACCAAAAAAATTCCCCGAAATTTTAGGACCTTCTTGTCTGACCTGGGTGCACTATTGCGCAGTAAATATAAACTATAATTTCATTAGTTTTTTGTTTGTTCGTTTGTTTGTTTGTTTTTAATACCAGCAGTCCTCTCATGATGAATGGGATAAAATCATCATACATTAAGTTTTAGAATGTTTATTTGATTTCTCCATACCACTTCAGGCAAAGTTTTAAAATCTTTTTACATTAAAGTTAAAAACTTTAGGTTTAAGGTTAACATTATACATCTAGAAGTACCTAGACACCTCTTCTAATTAGCAAATTTAGTTACGTTAAAGCACATCCACTGCTGACACAGGTGTTAGTCGCACAGCTTGTATAATCTCCATAGAAAAACACTGAAAATAGTATGCTCTGGATCAGCTGCATATGAGCCTATGGTCCCCATGCCTAATGCCAGCATCGGCCATAGGGAAACAAAGCTCCCCAGCCTTAGGCAGTAGAATTGCTCAATTTGGAATGTGGAGCAGTGGAATTGCTCCTCAAATACCTTCAAGATGAGCCACCCCCTCAGACGATGTTACATTCTGGGAAAGCTACAGCCTTGATAGCAGCGATTATCGCGTTTAAAGTATAATTACTTCTCTGTCATTGCCAATATCCAATAACCAATCACTAGATCACCCAGGCTTAAGTTGGAGCACAGTTTGTGATCCAAAACTAAACCAACATCAGTACTTAATCTCACTATTGCTCTTGTGACTAAATACAATCAAATCCTCACAGCAATGTTCTAGCATCTAGTATGGCCTTCCCAAAAGAACAGAGGCTGTTATTACAGGGGACACAATCCATGTTGATACTCTTTTTTTTTTTGAAAACGAGTTTTTGAAGAACCACTGGGGAGAAGGTGTCTTTGAGCATATAGTGTGAGTGGTTGACAAAAATATTGAGAAACTGATTGACAAAATGTCTTCTAACGCTAACGAAACCCTACCATTGCCATGTGTTGGAAAATGGAAACTCAAACCAGGTAAAGGTGGTCAAAGACCAGTGTGGCCTTGTCCATTTGGGCCAGAATGAGCAGCATTTCGTTGTCAATGAACTCCTTGTACTCTCGCAGGTTTAAGCTCATGTGCTGCTCCAGCTCGATTCTAATCTGAGGACAGAGCACAAAAATATAAATTTGTGAAAATATCATTCACAAAATGACCATGAAAAGCATTAATTGCCATTCTAGACCTTAAGGAACCCACATGTAATATACGGGTAGATGCCAGTGTAAGGACTATGTGCTTCTGTTTCAAGTTCACAAAGCTATTTTGAGACAATCTTTGTTTTGCATATAGCAAATGAACAAGTGTCCAATATGCTTTGAAATATGCCAAAATAAAACTATTAAGATGAAAATTTAGACTGTCTACTAAATAAAGGATAAACTAAACACATAATAACCTCTTACCTCCTTGGATGTAATATTCTCCAGGTCCTGTATCATCATTGTGCTTCGTAGTTTTGTTCTGATTAAACATTCTGTTCTTTCTCTCTCAGTTGGCCTGTACATGGCATGAAATAATCCACCCCTCATTCATTTGTAACTATTCTTTGTACACATATGGCTTTTGTACACATTGGGCTTTTAGGTTTTATATGTTGATTAGTTATCATAATATACAGATAACTACATCTAATATAAAGACATCTATTTCATAACTACAGTTGTATGCAAAGGTTTAAGCACTCTTGGCCGAATTTTGCTGATTTTTGAAGTGAAAAGAGGTGAACACAAGCTCTGCAGCAAACTATTTTAAAGGAGTAAAGTCTCAGAATATCACGCCTCCCTTTGATACTCCCAAAATCCAACTCCCAGAATTCAGAGGAGGATCACATGACTCAGAACTCTCAGGAACCAGCCTATCCTAGATATCAATAATCCAGCTTTGCCCGATTTTATCCACAAGCGTCTGATTTGTTCTGAATTGTGCCACAGAACTCAAGTTGTTAGGCCTTAATTGTCTCATTAGGACTGGTTAGGGAGGTTAGGAATTGCCTTTAAGGATTATCAGCTGATGACAATTCCAGAGTGTCCTAAATTCTTTGGCTCTTCGAATCTAGTGCTCAACAACCATGGGCTCATCTAAGTAGCTGGCTGAGTACCTAAAATGAAGCTTATTGATGCCTACAAAGCAGGGGCAGGCTATAAAAACGTCAAAGTGCTTCCAGCTCACAGCTTTCACTGTCCAAAATGGCATTAAGAAATGGCAGTTAAGGGAACTACAGCAAAGAACCTGTTTATCTGACACAGGAGTAGTGATGCACTGCATCTACATGGAAGAGTCAGCACAAGAAGCTCCTACCTCCGACCTCATCACAAAAGTCAACATATGAAGTGTGCAAAGCAACATGTCGATAAGCCAGAGGCATTTTGGACTGCTGCAGTCTGATGCACTAAATATCAAACTCTTTAGCCACAATCACCAAAGGTATGTCTGGAGAATGGATTGCATTTAAGATCAGCAAATTCAGAAAACAATGTGATATTAAACAAACAAAAGCTAAAAAGAAGTTGGCTTTTACAACAAGACAATGATCCAAAAAATTGCTAAAATTACGAAGAAAAAAGATTTGCAAGCTTTGACATCTGTTAAAGGGGGTGCTACTAAGCAGGCTTTGTAGAGTGTCCAAACTTTTGCACATGCCACAATTAAAAATTTATTTTTTATCTGTTTAAGTAAATCAAATATAATGTAGCTTTAAATTAACATTCACAGAAAAAAACTGTAAAAAGTAAAAAATGTACATAGTTATAGTAGTTTGCAGAAGAAGTTATGTTTACTGATTTTCAGTTCAACAATCAACAAAATATGTAACTTGGCCAGGGCTGTCAAAACTGCACATAATATATTTAAATACATCATCACTGCTACATGCATCATAATTGCTATATGGTACCCACATCAATTATACACTTTTTCCAATTTTCATAAGTTCAAATAAATTCTTAAATAATAACATGAACAATAACTTACTGATCAGAGAACAAGACAGGGGAGTCCGGTCTCGTGGTCTCCAGATCAGTCATTGCATTCCATTCATTGATGCAGCTTTGGTCAGAGAAGATGCAGCTTTCGTAGAAGCCCATCCAGGTGAAGGCCATGCCCCCAGGGAAGTAGTTATACTGGCAAGACACTTCACACACTTTGTGCAACACTTGTAAAGCTGACCTGGGGGCAGTGAAAATAAATCTATTGCCAAAATCCAACTAAGTAAGAATTCTCCACCACAAAAATAGCATGGGCATTTTTATTGAAAATGTTTCACTTAATAAAAGATATTTGATAAGACAGAGTTAACATACCACATGGCCTGCACAGACACAGGTTTAAAGACATGAGACCTTTCAGCTGTGCTGATACTAAAACCTCTGGGCAAAGGGAAAAAGAAGGTGTTGATTATGGAACACAGAGTATAACTCATATCAGAGATTATTCAAAAAGGTACTGGTCGGACATCACGGCCACAATGACTACCTGGAACAGTCCATGGAACAGTTTAGACTATAAGCCAGTGGAACATTCCTTAAGCACAGTGTGACATGAAACACTGTCTCTAGCTCCATGGTCATATGCATCACTATGGTGTTCTTTCATAAAAGTCAGTCCTATTAATAAATGATAATTGTTGTGGCTAATGCCAATATTAATAGCAGCCAAATTTCCTTCTATACATTTCAAAACACGTTCAATCCATATGTAAAGTACGATGAGCAAAAGTTGTAATACAGGTGTAAGTATCATAGCAAGAGTAACATGTTGACAGCAGTATTGGGCTGTGTTTGTGAATCTTTCAAACTAGTCATTACATGTTGTGAGCTGAATGCAACAGAATTTTAGTGCAACTTGACAGTTACTCAAAGCAACTCAAAAACAACTGAACATTCGGTTACTCCACTCTATAGGAAAATAAGCAAGCCAAAATCTACCTATCTGGTGACATGGAAATTGAGACATTTCAGAAATAAAGTCTGGGTGTGAATGGAATGCACAGGCAGGAATGGCTGTGACTGCAGGGTGCAGGTTCTACTTTTTTCCCTATAGGTAGTAGTTCTAACCACAGTTTGCCACCACTAAACGCACCAGTGGAATTGCATGCTAATATGGATGCTGATTCAAACTTACGAAATGACATAACGTTGAAGATTACATAACATTGTGAACATTATTTTTTTAATGAAATTGAATTGAATAACCCAGGTTTTTAGCAATAGACCAGAAAAAAAATATACAATATGGTAAATGGAATGTCTGAACAAACTGGAATGATTATTTAAAGGGTGTAAGTGTAGTACACGTTTTGTTTAGAAATTTAGTGTTAAACAGAGTCAAAAGAACACACTTCCACAGATAAATGGAGGCATTTAGAGGTTAATGAAAGAGTCAGAAAAAAGATAAATGAAGGTCAGCTTTGCTATTCTATACAGGAGGACTCATGAGAAGTAAGTAAGATCATAAAATAATTTAATAATTAGGGCTAAAGGACTAAAGACATATTTGGATCTTTTTTCTTCTGGATCACAGAGAGTTACTAACTTGCTCCATCAAGTTTTATTAATCAATCATTCATAACATGAATTACTATAGCTGGCTATAGTAACATCAATTTATAAATCTGGCAATCTAGCTGATGTTGCCAAATACATCAGTATCTTCCCACATGTTTCTAAAATTGTTGAATGTGTTGTTCAACAGCTTGTCACATATCTGTCTTTATGTGAGCTGCATCCTATGCAGTTTGGTTTTAGAGCTAGTCAAGTCTAAATTTATTTTTACAGCGCTTTGTACATCAGATGTTGTCGCAAACCAGCTTTACAAAAAATCTGGTTCCCATCCCCATGAGCATGCCAAGGGTGACAGTGGTGAGAAAAACTCCTTAAGAGCAAGAGGAAGAAACCTTGAGAGGAACCAAGATTCAAAAGTGGAACCCATTCTCCACTGGTCGACCCCAGATAGCAAAACAATAACACTACAAGAGCAATATGAATACAAGACAGAAATATTTAGGTTAACCAATGATAACCAATGACTACTGTTAATGGTCTATCAGTAAAGTAAGTAAATCTTTATTTATATAGCACTTTTCTAGAATAAGTCATAAAGTGTTTTACAATATAACACAATAAAATACAAAATTTAAGTAAGAAAAAAAAAAGAAAACAGAAAAATATTTTCGAAAATACTACTATCAAAGTGACAGTGAGAAAAAGATCTATGAAAACCAGTCCCTGTTACCAGTGAAAACCAGTATTAGGATAGTAACGCACTGTAAATCAGGGGTTAATCCACAAACTTCAATGACTCCTGTTAGAACCCTATTGTGGTGATATATTAGTATGATTATGTGGTGAGCTCAGTGTATTGTGTCGCAGGTAAAACTATGTCTATGATTAAATAATTCTAGTGTGAGTCTGTGCAGGCACAAGCACCGGTGAGTGTGGAATGCAAGTGAGGCTTTCTGCACAGCATTGGACAGCAGTAACCTCCATGGTGGGAGAACTGGTCCAGAAGACAAGTGTGCAGGGGCACCCCATCAAGGCAAATGAAGCAACAGCATCAGACTGCACAGGACGGACGGTTGTTAATTTCAGCAAAGAACACCTGATCAGAGCAGATCTTGCAATTGCATCAGACCAAACAGGATGGACAGTTTTGCAAAGAAACATACAGCTAATTGTTTTTTTTACTGAGAATGTTACATAAAAAATGGATAAGGGAGGTGTAGGTGCTATGTTTTTCGACTTTAGGAAAGCCTCTGACACAGCTCATCATGAGATACTGATAAAAAATTAATTACCTTTAACTTTTCTCCAAAGTCCTTACATCAAATGAAATCATATATCAAAGACACAACTCAGTGTGTCAGAGTGCTTTTCTGGTCTTTGATATTGTGGTGCCCCAGGGCTTTATTTTAGGACCTCTGTTTTTTAGATTATACATTAACAATCTGCTGAGTGCTTGTGCTCAGTCTGAATTTCAAATGTATGCCAATGATAGGTGGAAGAGACTCATGTTGCATCTAAATGTTAGCAATTCTATTCTATCTTTTAAAAACATGTGAAAGCTGTGACAAAGATTGTAATGTTTAATCTTGCTCAATTAAAGTATATAAGAAGCAACCTAACTAGAGAACTGTAAAATTATATTTCAATGCAATGATTCTCCCTCACTTGACTTGTTTGATCAGTTGGGCACAAGCCAGAGGCACAACTTCAAATCTATTTTAGAAGTTAATAAACATGCTAGACAGAAGACCTAAGACCTGACACCACTGTAAGATTCTTGCCAAATATTACCTCTTGACCTGGTAAAATATGATCAGTTTCACAAATGTTTGTATTACGATTTCTATTGGTTTAACCCCACCCCCTCTTGGTGAGTTCATTAGGCAGAAGTCTCAAAGTGATAGAGTTCCAGACATGTTTTGAGAGGTTATTCTCCATTGTCAATCAGAAATGTGTACATTAATTTAAATGTTTTCAGTTTTTAGGTGTTGGTTCACCTCCCTCTCTCAATTATTCAGTACACTTGCTTGAACTCAAATTATCTACCCTACTCTTAACTGTTTTTCAGTTTCCCTGTGTGTAAATAACATAACTAATAACATCAGCCCTCAGGGACTACTGTTGAAAATTAGCTAGTTGACTAACATTAGCACATTTACTTGATTAATGTGGGTTTTCCCTGATAAATAATAAACCAATAAACCAATCTATGATTCGTTACCATATATTTGAATTATTTGATTGGTTTGGGGCGGTTTTGATATATTGTATATAAGTTGTATCCCTGAACAGCAAATAAAAAAAAATGTGAAAGTCAATTACAATACTTCATCTGTGCTATTATATCGACGTGTCTCTCTTCTGGGTGGCTGTTGACATATGCAACCACTTCTTATAGCATTATTCAAGTCCTTATTATCAAATGTAGACCTTTTTTTACCATTCTTATAAACCTGACAGCCAAAAAAGTGTGGTGTTTCAGCAAGTGCCAAAACTATTCTTACACATTTGTATAGATATGCTAATTTTTCTCTTGCCCAGCATAGACTGTACCAGTCACACAATATTTCATACAACTGCAGTCTATTTATTAAATATACCACCCTGTTTCCAAAGTTGGGATGCTGTGCAGAATGTAGCTAAAGACAGAATGCAATGATGTGCATATCATTTAAACTCTATATATAATTGACAATAGTACAAAGACAACATATTAAATGTGGAAATTGTGAAATGTTATTGTTTTTTGAAAAATATACGCCCATTTTGTATTTAATGCCAGCAATACATTTCAAAAACTTGGGACGGGGCATGTTTACCACTGTGTTGCATCACCTGCAACACTTTGTAAACATTTGGGAACTGAGGAGACCGATATATATATATAGTTCTGAAAGTAAAATGTTTTCCTATTCTTGCTTGATATAGGATTTCAGCTGCTCAACAGTTTGGGGTCTCCTTTGTCGTGTTCTTTGTTTCATAGTGCGCCAAATGTTTTCAACGGGTGACAGATCTGGATTGCAGGTAGGCCAGTTTAGCAACCGCACTCTTTTACAGAGCCATGCTGTTGGAATACATGCAGAATGTGGTTTGGCCAGAGGTGTAAGTAACGAATTACATTTACTCTCGTTACTGTAATTGAGTACAGTTTTCCCTGTATCGGTACTTTTTGGAGTAGAATTAAATTATAGTACTTCTACTCGTACTTGAGTTAATTTTTAATGAAATACTTTTACTTTGCTACTTTAATTTTCATAACGTTACACAGTAAAAATAGATGAGCGTATCAGCTCAGACACCAATACGAACTAAGCGCGATAAAATGAAAAGATTTACCAATCAAAAAGCAGCTCCGGCAAGAAAAACTCTACAGAGAGGTCCAGTTTAGTGGAGAAGGACAGAGGAGAACTGAATCAGCACACGCGAGGAACAGACCGCATCCAAATGGTCATCTGTATTCATTTTCACATGAACTAAAGAAAACGCAGTAGGAGTTGGATCTCTGCGTGCCAGGTGACAGGCAGAGGTGGTTGCTCTTGTGGCCACAGGAAGCAGACACTTTGCGGCCAATTTTATGAGCGGCCGCCACTGAGTGGCCACACAGTGGCCACTTTTATTAGCGGACTCCATTGAGCAGCCACATTGCGGCCACTTCTTGGCCACTTTTATCAGTGAACGCCATTGAACAGCCACATCGCGGCCACTTCTCAGCCACTTTTATTAGTGGATGCCATTGAGCAGCCACATCGCGGTCAGTTTTGTTAGTGGCCGCCACTGATCATCCACATCGTGGCCACTTCGCCGGCACTTTTATTAGCAGACGCCATTGATCATCCACATCGCAGCCACTTTCGGCCACTTTTATT